TCAAGTTCAATTCGAAGCGTAGAAGATTTATCCAAGTTTGAGTTGAACTTTTGTCCTCACTTTTTGCCCAAGCCCAAACTCCGAGTGTATCTCAAAAAATCCAAACAGGTACAAGTTGTCCCAATTCAATATCGTTGTTTATCTTAAATTAATGTATTACAATTTTTTGAAAATAAAAATAAAAAATATCTCAAAAAGTACAAACAAAAAACATAATGAAAATTTTTGTTTTAACTATATATCTCACAATATCATTTAATTTATAACCAATGAAAAATAATCTCATTTATAGTATTTTATATTTATAATATATAATTTATATATATTAACAATTGATTTCTTGTTTCTCCAATTGCTTGAATTGTGAAAATTTGTATTCAAGTGTTGTATGAATTTAATTTGAATTGTGAAATTTTAACTCAAATCCTAATTAAATTTAAAATTATATTCTTAAGTTTATTTTATTTTATTATTATTTTTTTAATGTCTGGACCAGATTTTTGGATGGTTGACGGAAGTTACGACAAAATTCGCTGTTGCTGTTTGCGGGGGCCAACCAAAACACGAGCTCTACACTTCGATAGTGATAATATATATATGTCTAAAATATTTTATTCAAAGGGATAAATTCAGAAGAGAAATGGAGAATTATCCCTCAGACAACACCACCGGTAATACCACATCAAATCTCGTCGAACAACGAGTCCCACTAAACCAAGGAAAGTCTTTCGAAGAAGAAGACCATCTGGTCAAAAGCACTAAGAAAATCAAAAACTCAGACTAGCTGAGGAAACTAATATGGATAATACAGCTAATATGGATACGGAGATATCACGATAAGATATTGGGGAACAACTCCCAGCGTTGGGTCTTCCTCCTCCCAAATCTGTCAAAGAAGCTCTAGCCACTGCTAGAAATTGTACTTATGCTTTCGATAGTATAGTAGAAATCCTCTCGTCAGATGAGAAAGATGATGATGTTCAAGAGGGTCATTCTAAGATCCAAGGCATCTACCTAGAGCTCCGAGGACTTCCCACAATCTCTCTACCTAAGAAGCTTCTGGCAAAGATCAGTAAACCATGGGAAAATACACTAATTGTTAGACTGTTGGGGAAAAATAGTGGTTACAACATGCTCTGCTCCAGAGTTAAAACTATCTAGGGTCTTCAGGGAGAATTTAATGCTATTGACCTGGGAAGTAACTATTTCCTCTTTAAATTCTCTGAACAGGCAGATTGTACTAAAGTCTTCGCGGAGAGACCATGGGTCATTATGGACCACTATCTGACTGTGAGAAGGTGGGAACCAAACTTTAAACCATCGGAAGCTTTTGAAACCACAACCGTAGTTTGGGTTCAGTTTCCTGAGCTTCAAATTGAATACTACCAAGAAAAAGTCCTATTTGCGATTGCCAAAGCTATTAGCAAACCACTCAAAATCGATTGGACCACAGCTATGGCTACGAGAGGAAAGTTTGCTCGCGTCTGTGTAGAAATGGATCTTAGTCAACCTCTAAAACCAAAATTCATATTGGAAGGTAAGCTTTACAGTGTTGAATATGAGTCCCTTCATTCATTCTGCTTCCTCTGTGGACGCACTGACCATAGAAAGGAAGCTTGTAGATTCAAGACCTCAGGTGCTTTACCGGCGGAGGAAAATCTAGCCGTTTCCGACAACGGAACTTTTGACAACCAAACAGTGCAGGATAACGGTTACCTGCAACAAAAAAAGGAGGAAGATGAAGCCTTTGGCCCATGGATGCTTGTGACTAAGCGATATAGGAAAACAGCCCAACCCAAGACGGTACAAGATCTATCTGGCCCAATTACCAACACCAATTCATTTAAATATTTGAAAGAGGGCCATAACAGTCAAGTTAATACTCATAGGGGAAAGATGACCAACAAAATCGGAGTGGATAATGCCCAAGGTGAGCCCAGTGTCCCAATAGGCCCAACTCAAGCTAAGGACTCTAAAGGTAAAACCAAAATAGGGACGAACCACACCAGAGCAAAGGAATCAGATACATCTGTGAGAAATCAATCTGTCTGGAAGAAAATGGGGGAGAGCTCAGCATCACACGCCAAAGATTTCCCACCAGAGAATCCACTCTGTGAACAAGTCAAAGTGAACAATCTCTCCAGTGAAAATCAATTGCATCAGAATACTTCTAACATGATCTATACGTTGGAGAACACCCCAAGTCAAAACAACTCAACCATGGTTGAAGTTAACTCGTCCCCTGTAGCTGCCAACATACCAGAACCTACTTCAACTCTCAAGTCAGTAAAACCATTGAAACAAAATAAAGAACCACCAGACCCAGGGGAAGCAAACAATGGAAGGGGAAGATAGCAAGAAAACAGAAGAACCAATGAAAGATGTGATAGCACATTGGAACCAGATCCACAATGTGAGCCTATTGTTAGAACCATAGAGAGAAACAATTCACCTAGTCGCTTTCGCTTGGTGGATAGAACAACTCCGACTAATAATTGAGCCAAACTGGGCGGAACCCCACCTGAAGCCTTTTCACTCATTCCAGCTAGCCTCCATGAGATCAGAGGAGGCAAATCGGCGAAGGATATGCAACATCATTAAGGATCTAACTGACTCACCCCTCTATTACCCATCTATAGATTTATTACGACTACTTTTCTAGAATTGCCGCGGAGCTGGCAATAATAATTTTCAAAGAAATTTTGTGGAAATCATTCATGCCCATAAACCTAAGATTATAATTCTTATGGAGACTAAAGTGACCTTTAGCAAAATGGGTAACTTCTTCAATCGATTGGGCTTCACAGCCTTATCGATTGTAGATCCCATTGGAAGAGTAGGAGGGATATGGATCATCTGGGACACAACTCAAGCAAATGTCAGGGCTTCCTCAGTTAGTTCTTAGGCTATCCACGCAACCATACACAAGAAGATTATGAAAAGTGGATCCTTGATGCGGTTTATGCAAGCCCAAACCCATGCAAGCCCAAACCCACTTATGAGGGAGCATCAGTGGGTTGAATTGGAGGACGTGGCAAAAAACATGCATAAGCCATGGTTGGTAGCTGGGGACTTTAATGACTATGAAAGTCAAAGAGAAAGAAGAAGCTTCACCTCATCTCAGAGTTCTAACAGAACTCAAAATTTTTTAGAAAGTATTAACAATTGCAATCTAATTGATTTGGGAAGTTCTGGTCCTAAGATGACCTGGACTAACAATCGGCAAGGTTTGGCTAATTCTATGGAGAGACTTGATAGAGCTCTTAGCAATCCAGAATGAAGAACAATGTTTCCAGAAGCCACTGTCAGAGTTCTCCCCCGCAGCTACTCAGATCACTCACACCTTGTCATCTACACCCAAGGTATGCATACTCGGAATCCCTCTAATAGGCCCTTTAGATTTGATGTGGCTTGGATGTCCCATCCGGACCTTATAAACATTGTTAACTCCACCTGGACTGATATGAATAATAACCTCATTGATTTTACTGTTGAATTCACTCGTAGAGTTAAAAGAGTGGAACAAAGAAGTTTTTGGGAATATTTTCAAAAGGAAAATACACCTCCTTACAAGGATTGAGGGCATCCAAAAAGCTTTAGCTACTTATTTTTCCCATAATCTTCATGCTCTTGAAAGAGATCTTATCAAACAATATAACTCTACTTTGTTCCAAGAAGAAATCTTGTGGTTTCAGAAATCTAGGGCTAAACATATTATGCTTGGTGATAGAAATACCAAGTATTTTCATATCTCCACTATTTCTAAGAGAAGGAAAACCAAAATCAATTCCTTTAAAGATAATGCAGGATCTTGGATTACTGAGACTGATGAAATTAAGGCTGCTATCCTTGACTATTTTCAAAATCTCTTTAATAGTGAGGATACCACTCATCTGGATCATTGGAATAACCCAACTCAAACTCACTTTACCCATGATGATAATATTGGGTTTCTCAAACCCATTTCTAATTCTAAAATTCTTAGAGTTGTTCTAGACATTGGTACTTTTAAAGCACCAGGTAAGGATGGGATTTAGGCCATATTCTATAAGTAGTACTGGAACTCTATAGGTCAATCTATGTGATTTTGTCAAAAATTGTTTTCGCAATAAAATTGTGCCTCTTGAGATTAATGAAACTCTTATTGTGTTGATCCCCAAAGTTGATAACCGTGAAACCATTAAACAATTTAGACCCATAAGCCTATGTAATGTATCCTATAAAATTATAACCAAGATCATTGTGGGAAGAATTAGACCCCTTTTCGACAATATTGTGTCTCCCAACTAGAGTAGTTTTATTCCTGGTAGAAATACTACTGATAACATCATTATCACTCAAGAGATTCTGCATACTTTAAGATATAAGAAAGACAAATATGGTGGCATGATTTTTAAGATTGACTTAGAGAAGGCCTACGATAGGTTATCCTGGGATTTCATCAAAGAAGCCTTATTGGAATTCAAACTTAACTCGGATTAGGTTGAATTGATTATGAGCTGTGTCACTAATCAGCATTCATCCATTCTGTGGAATGGGGAAATCATTGATGGGATTCATAATAGAAGAGGCCTTAGACAAGGTGACCCTCTTTCTCCCTATCTCTTTGTCCTTTGCATGGAAAGACTGTCCAACATGATACATTCTAAGGTCAAGGAGGGCTCTTGGAAAGGTATCAAGGCTTCTAGAAATAGCCCTTCCCTATCCCACTTGTTCTTTGCGGATGACTTGATCCTTTTTGCTCAAGCTACTCATAATAATTGTGAAACCATTTTGGAAATCCTCTCTGAATTCTGTGAAGTGTTAGGCCAAAAAGTTAATCTTCTAAAATCTAAACTCTTTGTCTCTCCTAATGTTCCTAGAAATGTTGCCCAAGCTCTCAGCTTCCATAGTGGCATTCCCCTAACTTTTAACCTTGGCAAATACCTTGGTTCCCCCTTACTCTATCAAAGAATCACTAAAAACTTGCTCACTGAAATCCTTGTTAAGATAAAAGCCAGACTCTCTGGTTGGAAAACTAGAAATCTCAACTTAGCTGGTAGAGCTACCCTCATTCAAGCTGTCACTTCGACCATCCCTCTTTATACCATGCAAACCATGGAACTCCCTAGACAACTTTGTGATGACATTAATAGAATTAATAGGAATTTTCTATGGAGTGATACTGAAACTTAGAAAAAAGTCCATTTAGTTAACTAGGACAGCATGTGCAAAAGTAAAACTGAGGGTCGCCTTGGACTAAGGAAGGCTAGAGATCAAAACACAACTCTTCTCATTAAACTAGGTTGGAAAGTTCTGAGTGATAAAGATAAACTTTTGTGTAAAGTGCTGCACTCTAAATACCTAAAACATCATAATCTTTACACTTGGCCCATGAAGAAAAATTCTTCACACTGTCAGAGATGTCCTCAGAAAGGGTGTTAAGTGGATTGTTGGCAATGGGAAAGACATATCCTTTTGGACTGATTGATGGTATGGTAAGTAACCCTTATCTCAACACAACTATACCTACCAAACTGATAATACTATTATGGTCAGCTCTGTCATGATGATGAAAGAAAGTGGGACACTAATATCTTATCCAATCTTGTTAGTCAACAAGACCTCAATAAGTTTCTCAAAATTTATAAGCCCAGATTTGTTACTTTCCCTGATGCTCCTGTTTGGGTTCCTTCATACTCTGGTAACTTCACTTCAGCCTCGGCTTTTAATTTCATTACTGATTCTGATCTGGCAAATAGGGACTGGAAGTGGATCTGGAAAATTAAGATCCCTCAAAAACTCAGATTTTTCCTTTGGCTGATCTTAAAGGGCAGATTGTTGACTAACCAGTTACGTCTTGTCAAACATTTAGCCCCAACCAACATCTGTCCCAGGTGTGGCTAGCATAGTGAGGATATGAAGCATTTGCTTAGAGATTGTTCTACCTTTAAAGATATTTGGACCCACATTCAAAATCTTACCTGGTGGGATAAAGGGAATCACCAGCCTTTGACTGATTGGGTTATCATAAATATGAAGAACAAAAATATTTTTTATGGAAAAAAATGGTATCTTGTCTTCATTGTTACACTTTGGCAAATCTGGAAAGACCGTAATAAACTGGTTTTTGATAACCTTTCCAACCCTATTCAAGTCAATCTTAAGAACATTTTTACATATGCTCATGAATTTGATGAGGCTTTTCATTCCCCTCTTTGTCCCCACCCTGCAGAACCTAAATTAATTAATTGGTGTTGCCCAATTGCAGGTAAACTCAAATAGAATACTGACGGCTGCTCAAAGGGAGACCCAGGCCAGGCAGGTTATGGAGGAGTGCTGCGAGATGAAACAGGCACTTGAATTTGGGGTTACTATGGCAAGTTAGGCCACTGTACGAGCTTAGAGGCAGAAATATGGGCCATCTATAGAGGGCTCACCATTCTTTTCCAGAAAAACACTAGAGATGTGCAAATAGAATCAGATTCTGAACAGGCCATTAATCAAATCCTTCATGACCCAAACCACAACTCACCATACAAGGCCCTTATTGAAGATGCTAAGTTCCTACTGAAAAGGATTAACTGCTCTCTTGGTCACACTTTGGGTGAGGGTAACAGAGTTGCTGATCATCTAGCCAATATGGGAGTCTCTCAAAATGATCATGTTGTGATCCTTGATAATCCTCTAGATGAAGTTGTTTCCTTACATATCGATGACATGACTAGAGTTAGTTTTGTGAGGGACTAGCCCTCTGGCTTGTTGTAACTATAACTATTTGAACTCTTGTTTCTCTAATTTTCATATGAATCTAAAAAAATAAAAGATAATGATAATATACATTTATATTTATTGTTTATTCAATATTTATGTAGACACCCCATTTTCGACCGTCCTCAAGACCTGAACGTCACCGTTTGAACACTCAGTGATCATCCATGTTCGTGTTCATCTTGAGTTCTTAGAGGTTTCGGCCGCGCACCTTGCCTCGAGACCTCTCGACTTGTTTATTTTGTGCTCGGTTGTAGACCAAACACTTGTGTTTTGCTTTTGAGGGACAGGGAATGGCTTGTTGGCCATCCCCACATCTCACCAGCCATGGCTTGAGGCCACCGGCCTTGTTTCCTTGCCACCGGCCACTGATGATGGCCGGTCGGCACTACTGATGGTCGGTCGACACATTTTGTGGTCGATCGGCCAACTTTGTTGGCCGATTAGCCACTTTTCTGGCCGAGACCTTTTCTTGAGTGGGGGTTTAAACCTTTTGAACCCCCTATTTTAGCTTCTTGAGGAAGCTTGAACCTTTTGAACTCTTGGTTTTGGCTTCTTGAGGAAGCTTGAACCTTTTGACCCTTTTTAGCTTCTCCAAGAAGCTTGACCCTTTTTTAGCTTCTCCAAGAAGCTTGATCCTTTTTTAGCTTCTTGAAGAAGCTTGAACCTCTTGACCCATTTGCCTAGCTTCTCCAAGAAGCTTAGCCCTTTTGCTCCAAGCTTCTAAGAGAAGCTTGGCCTTTTTGCTCAAAGCTTCTAAGAGAAGCTTTGCCCTCTTGGTTTCTCTATAAAAAGAGGGTCTCTCCTCCCCTTTAGAGAGTTAGAAAAATCTGATATATATCATATATATATATATATATCACTTCCTCTCTATATCTCCCTCTCTCTCTCTACATTTGTATGGGTTAGAAGGTGCAAAAGGGTCTAGTTCTTGGCCATTTGAACTACACCTCCATCATCAACCTAAGGAGCTTAGAGGCCATTTTCAGAGGCTAAGGGACTATTTTTTGGACCAAGAGGCTGCTGTCCCCTTTTGGCTACAAAGGTAACTCTTTTTCCCTCTTTATTCCCCGTTTTTGCACACACTTTTTGCCTATCTTGCTTGCTGTTTTGAGCTTCGTGTATAACACAAAAAAATTCTATTTTTTTTTGTGTTTAAGATATTTCATTAAGGTCACTTTTGTGTTTGGGGACGTTTACCCCCTCTTAGGCCTTGTTTGGCCCCATTTTGTGCTATTTTTAGTGAGCTTCGGGACCACCTTGTTTGGGCCTCCTCACCACTGAAATCTTGAGGGATTTCAGTGGTGAGGATGGTGGTTTAAGGTCCTAAGAAGGAGAGGGGTGACCCTCTCCCTTGTTGCCTTGTTTGTTGCCCTTTTCGGCCTTCCAAAGGGGCTCCTATTTGCATGCTTCCAAGCCTTGTTTCAAGCATTTTTCAGTGGGTTTTAGGACCCCCATAAGCCATTTCCAGAGTTGGTTTGGTCTTGTTGAATGTCCTTATTGCATGTGTAGAGTAACCCTCTTATTGGCCTTTCAAAGGAACATCAGTACCAACATTAATTTGGGTGATTTTATCAACCAGCGATTTTACAAACCTCTCCTGCTCTTGATCAAGCAAATATTGCAAAATCGGAGGAATTTCCATGCTTAGCTTGTCTTGTTTACTTGGTTTTGCACCTTCTATAATATGATTTCAGAGCTTTCTATGCATGCCATGTATCCATGTTTATCCTCTCTTAAGTGTGCTTAAAAGTTGCTCTTTGGTGCCTAAGTGTTGGACCTTGTGTGCATACATGCTTGTATGTGTTTTGGTCCTCATTTCCATGGCATTTGGCCACTGATTTGGGCCTATTTGAGAGCTACCCATTTTGGTTTAAGACCATTCCCACATGTCGTTGCATGCTCATCCATCTTGCATGCTCGTTAGTTTACATAACTTGCATGCTTGTATGTTTACATTGCTTGTTCACATGCTCATATTGCATGCTTAGCTTCCATGCCTAGGTTGCATAACATTAAGCATACATCTCTTGCCTCTTGAATTGATTATGATGGAGGTTGGGGCCCATTGTTTGTTTTGTGCATTGCATTCCATATTAAAATTGCACACTTGGCTTTGGGGCTATCACGCATTGAAATGCGCGATTAGTGGTCCGAGAATTAAGCACCATACCCCTTTGAGTCACAAACATGATAAGGGATATGGTGGTGCACACATTTGCTTGAAATGCATTGCCATGCCATGTTTTTCCCTCTGCTGCTGTCAAAACAGGTTCTGCAGGAAGCT